GGAGGAGGTGGAGGCGGAGGCGGAGGCCGAGGCGGAGGAGGAGGAGGAATCAGAAGCGGCAGCGGAATCAGAAGCAGAAGCATACGCGGAAACATATTACTCATTTTAGTATTCATTGTTTTAATGGTATTACTAGTCCGAGTAATACTACGAATAATACTAGTACTACTAATACTAACATCAGTAACACTTTTATCACTCACACTACTGGCAGTAATGATGCTACTCGTATTATACTTACACCCGTAGCAATACTACTACTACTACTACTACTACTAGCAATCGCATTGGTAGTACTATCCACAATACTAATTTTATTATTAAAGACATGATGATTATTAAATATACGAAAGATAGGAATAGTAGTAACCCTGACTACAGCCATATTAGTAACCATACTACCTTTCATACTACTACTGATATGAATACTACGAATAATAGTACTACGAATACACTGATATTAACAACAGTACTAATAACCATATTATTAATATTATTATCATTAATAATATGACTAATACTAATACTAATCAGGGGAGGAGGGCGAGGAGGCGGGGGAGGAGGATGCGGAGGCGGAGGAGGAGGAGGAGGAGGCCGAGGGAGGAGGAGGGAGGCGGAGGAGGAGGAGGCGGAGGAGGAGGATGAGGACGAGGGAGGAGGAGGGGGAGGAGGGAGGAAGGAGGAGGAGGAGGAGGAGGAAGGAGGAGAGGAGGAGGAGCAGCAGGAGCAAGCAGAGCAGGAGGGGAGGAGTAGCAGGAGGAGGAGGAGGAGGAGGGGGAGGAGGAGGAGGTATGTAGCAAGACAGGCGAGAGGAGGGACGGAGGGATCCTCGGATGTCCCGACGTTTCCCTCAAGTCGGGGCCCCAGGGACGGGGGTCCATGCAGGGGGGGGCCAGCCAGGCGCTGGATCTTGCAGGATCCTGCAGGCAGGGCTGCACTGACCGGGGCTAGTGCGCAGGATCCTGCAGGGTCTTGCAGGATCCTGCGAAGCCCGACTGGCCTGGGTTTGCCTTGACCTGGGTGCATAGGTCCCCGACGAAGGTCGGTTTTTCATCCCGAGTCATTCTTTGACGGCCCCGCGGCCCGGCGAGGGCTCCCAGAGGCCGAACTCGGCGAAACACCTCCGCACTGCTAACTTGTTTGTTATACTGAAGGTCTGGGGCCGTTTTGGGGGCCGTCGGCCCTCGAGAGGTATTGGTACCGCCTTCTCCTGGGGTGCGTTCTGGCCAGAAAATGTAAAGGCGACTCTGGCAGTCTCAACGATGGCCTCCCAGGAGGCAGCGAGAACGGAGGAAGGGTTCGGCGGCGCGAGCAAAGGGGGTGACGCGAGGGGGGGCGGCTTCTAAGAAGGCAGGGGGGCTTCCAAGATACCTTTTTAGAAAACTTCAGCTGCTTCTGATCTGAGAAGGCCCCTGCCTTCTAAGAAACCGCCCTGCCTTCTCAGAAGGCCCCCCCTCGCGCCACCCCCTTGTACGCGCCGCAACAGGGTAGCGTTAGATCGGGCATGTCCCTCTACAGGAGGTATGTTCAAAAGTAGGCAAAAATAGTCAGGTGACGATTTCCCGACGATTTTTGACAATTTTTGCGCATCTTTTGACAATCTTTTGTTTCTCGTAAAAATGCGGCTGTAGGAGGACACGCCCGACCGAAGGGTAGGACGAGGAGGAGGAGGAGAAGGATGAGGAGGAGAAGGAGGAGGAGAAGGAGGAGGAGTATGAGGAGGAGGAGGATGAGAAGAGGGTGGGGGAGGGGGGGGGGGAGGGAGGGTGGGCGGAGGGCGTGGTCGGGAGGGAGGGAGGGAGGGGGGGAGGGAGGGAGGAGGAGGAGGAGGCAAGGGGAGGAGGAGGAGGAGGGAGGAGGGAGGAGGGAGGAGGAGGAGTTCTTTCTTCTTCCGGCGTCTGGGCGCCGGGCTGGACGGCTCCCGCGGCCAGCTGGCCGCCGTGCGCTCGGCCGCCGCGGAGATGCTGCAGGCCAGCATCGTCCAACCCAGCCCCGTCCCCGCTGGGCCATGGCATCCCGGCCCATCCTCCCTTTCGGTGTGGGGACAAGCACCGCGAGACCCGACGGGAGCAGCATGCATACATGCATACATATATTCATGCATACATACATATATGCATGCATGCATCCATACATACATATATACATACATGCATACACACATACATACACACTTACATACATACATACGTACATACATACCTACAGCCATACATACATACATACATACATACACACATACACACATACATACATAAACACATACATACATACATACATTCATACATACATACACACATACATACATATACACATACACACATACATACATACATACATGCATGCATGCATGCATGCATGCATACATACATACATAAAACTATTCATACAAACATGCACACATACATACGTACATGCATCTATGCATGCATGCATGCATGCATACACACATGCGGAACACATACATGCATGCATACATGCGTACATGCATACATGCATCCTCACATACATACATGCATTCATGCATCCATCCATACATACGCACCTACATGCATACACACAACCATACAACCATACACACATACATACGCACATACATGCATGCATGCATGCATACATACATACGTACACGCATACACCCATACACACATGTAAATGTATGCATACACACATACACATAAATACATACATACATACATGCATGCATGACTACATACATACATACATACACACATACGTACATACACACATACATACACACATACATTCATACATACACACATACACATACACATATACATACACACATACATACATACCTATACACACCTACATACATACATACACGCACGCATACATATACACACATCCATACATGCATGCATGCATGCATGCATACACACATACATACACATACACACATACATACACATGCACACATACACATACCTACACACATACATATATACATACATACATACATACATACATACATGCATACATACATACATACATACATACACACATACATACGTATATACACATACATACACACATGCACGTACGTACATACATTCATACATACATGCATCCAATCACACATGTATGCATGTATATATATACATACATATGCGCATCCATACGCACATGTCAACAACCATACATCCATACACACATCCATACATGCATGCATACATACAAACATACACCCATACATACGTACATACACACATGCATACATACATACACATACACATTCACACATACATACATTTATGAATGTATGCTGACGCACGTGTATATATATATATATATACATCCCCGCCTATCTCGTATGGTGGTGGTGGTGGTGGTCTCTGGATAGGGGAAGCAAGTCCCACGACGCCGCCGACGACAAGGAAGAGGAGGAGGAGGAGGTGGGGGGTGCTGTCGGCGCGTTCTTCTCCCTGCCGCCTCCCCTGCCTCCCGACGGCGCCGCCTCGCAGCTCCCCGATCGCCACCCCCCGGCAGGGGGGGGAAGTCTCAGGAGGGGAAACCACACCCGGGCGCACACAAGCGCCGGTTCCCAGGAAGACAGGGGATTTTACGGAAGGAATTTTTGGAATTGTGCTCTGATTCGCCGAGGGGGCGGTCAGCTTGGTGCGGCACTCACTAGCTGCTGGCAGGGAGGGGAAGGGGGCCATCCAGAAGATGGGGACAGGTGTGGGGGAATCCAGGGATTCGTGGCTGTGGCTCTGTGCCTCCAGGGGCCCCTTGGGGCGAGTCGGCCAGGGGGGGGGGGTGCCCAGGCCCGTGCGCCGGCGGGGACGGAGGTCGGCTCTGAAGCGATGCTGCGCAGGAGGTCCGCCCCCTCGCCCGGAGGGCCTCGCTCGCCGCGGCCGTTCCGATCCCGATCCCGATCCCGATATCTCCTCCTCCTCCTCCTCCTCCTCCTCCACTTGTGCCTCCTCCTCGTTCTGTTCCGATTCTCCCTCCTCCTCCTCCTCCTCCTCCTCCTCCTCCTCCTCCTCCTCTTCCATTCGTGCCTCCTCCTCGTTCTGTTCCGACCCCGCTTCCTCCTCCCTCCCTCCTCCCCCCCCCTTCCTCCTCCCTCCTCCTCCGCCTCCTCCTCCGTTCGTGCCCCCCTCCTCGTTCTGCCCCTCGCCGCGCCAGGAGGTCCGCCCCCTCGCCCGGCGGGCCTCGCTGGCCGCGGCCTCCCGCGCCTCGGCCCGGCGCGCGCTGCGGGACTTCGCGGGCGCTGCGGAGGCCCAGGGGGAGTCGGGAGCGGCCAAGAGTCGGGAGGGAAAAAACACACACAGACACAATTCATCGTCGACTCCCAGGAAAATATGGGAAAATATGGGAAAGACAAAAACCCAGAAAAATAGGGGAAATATGGGGAAATATGGGGAAACATGGGAAAAGTCGGGAGTCGGGAGCGGCCAAGAGGTAAGTCGGGCCCGTCCCTCTACAGGGGGAGTAGTCAAGAAGAGCCAAAAAAGAGTACGGGGACTATTCTTCATGCATTTTTTGACCATTTCGGAGGGAAAGACGCACACGGACACACTTCACCGTCGACTCCCAGGAGGATAGGGGAAAATATGGGACATGAGGGGGGGGAAGACAAACACCCAGAAAATACGGGAAAATAGGGGGAATCCTGTTATTTGTGTGTAGTTATTTGTGTGTCCCAGGGCCCCTTCACAAGAGGGGGGTGAGGACTGGCGTCCAGCGGGCTTCTGTGGTGTTCGCGCGTCAGCGTGCGTCCTCCTGGCGGCGTGGCAAGACTCACGACGGGAGGTTTGGCGCCGTCGTCGGTCTCCAGCGGCCTTCGCCGGGCCTCGGGACCGTCAAGGAACGAGTCAGGATGAGAAGCCCGCTCCCCTGGAACGGGTCCAGGCTCCTGGGGGGTCACGCCACGAACAAATCACGACGTCGGGGGTCTGGGAAGTCAGGCGCGCTGGCGTCACATCTGACTTCCCGACTGGCGTCGCATTCGATTGCGTCCGCGCGTGCGCAGCCCTGCGAGCTGTGCGCAGCACTTGCCTGCCTCGAGCCATAATCCAAGCATTTTCTTTGGGTGGAGGGCAATGGGTGAAATCTGAAATGCTGTTTCGATGGGTTTTCGAGGCTTGAATCTACAAAAGGTGAATCACAGGACGGATTGATTTTCGAGGTGCAAAAGCCCATATGGATTTCACCCTGAGCCCTGCACCCTGAGATTTTTTTCAGAAAACATTGGAAAATATGGGAAATCATTTTATTTGTGTGTATTTATGTGTGTGTTCTGGGGCCCCTTCAATAATACCTCCCCCCCCTTCGTCACCCCCCTCTTTGCCGCTCCCGAGGGAGGAGGGAGCCCAGACCTCCCGAGGTTAAGTTTCAGTCGGGCCTGTCCCTCTACAGGAGGAGCACTCAAAAATTAGTAAAAAGATAGCCTGGGGACGATGTTTCGACAATTCTTGGCTATTTCGTAGTATTTTCAAACTGTTTTTGATTTTTCGTCATTTCAGGTAGAGTCGGCCCTGCCAAATCGAGGGCACCAGTGCTTATTCAAATTCCTCCGATTCGATCCGATCTGATTTCGACGGCTTCCGATTCCGATCCGATTCTTGACCTCGGATTCCGGTTTGGGATCCGATTCTTTCCTGCAGGCCTACCAGCCTGCCGATTTCCGCCGATTCGACTCCTCCCGCCTCGGCTGCCGATTTCCGCCGATCCGATTCGTTTCGATCGCCGATCCGACTTGTCGATTCGATTCTGGGCTCTCCGGGACCTCCAAGGCAGAGTCGGTCCGGATTGGGAGGTCGACCGTGCCAAGTCGAGGCTACCCCTCATGTCCTGTCTGTCCCGACCTGTGCATCCCGCACGCTCTCTGGTGTTCTGGGGCCGCGTCTGCGGTCGGAGGAGTCTTGTGTCCTCTCGGGTGTCCTGTCCAGTCAAGTCCGACTGTAATGTCGGTTACGCGCAGAAGAGGGGTACAGCCGGGGCCCTGAAGAAGGAACCCTTTTCGTTGGGGAGGGGCTCGGTGTTCCTTGATTGCTCGACAGTTTGCCTTCTGTTTTCCTGAGGTTTTCCATGGGAAATCGAAGTTCAACTTATGGGAGAAAGGGCCCCCGTTCCTTATTTAGGGTTCCTTAGGTCAACGCCCCCACTGTAGGGGGAGGGGGGAACCCGGCGCCCTCAAAGAAGCCGCCTCTTTCTATGAAGCCTTCCCCCCCTCCCCCTACCCCTTGTGCGCGCCGCCAATGTCGAAGAAAGCAGTGCGGAGGTTTTTCGCTGATTTCGGCCTTTGGGGGACCGCGCCGGGCCCCGTGGGCGTCAAGAGACCGCTCTGGATGAGTGACTGGCCCTATGGGAAGGGCCGGGGCTTCGGGGCCCCTTCTTGAACAAAGCAAGACCTCGGACATCGGATGTCTGAGGCAATAGGCATGACCTTTCGGAGCTCCGCGCGGGTCTCTTGGGCCTGCGCTGGCACACCCTGGCGGCGGCTCTGGTGCCGCTTCTGGCGGGCTCCGCGCGCCAGGGAGGAAGGTTCAGCGCAGATCCAAGAGATCCGCGGGCACCTCCGAGAGTCTGTGCTCGAGCAGTCCTTTCGTCCTCCTAGAGGCGGTCTTCAACGGAAGCTCGGGCGTCGCCCAGCTCTCGGAGATCTTGGAGATCGGGATCTCGAAGATGGGCCCCGATCAGGGGTAACGTTAGTCAGGAGGGGAAAAAAACACAAACACAATCAACCGTCGACTGCCAGGACAATATGGGAAACTATGGGAAGCGGTGGGGGGAAGACAGAAACCCAGAGGGCATGGGAAAAGACGGAGAATCTGGTTACTTGTGCCTGTTTATTTGCGTGTCCTAGGGCCCCTTCAGTTAGGGGGTGATAGGCTCGGGGTGGAATGCCTCGACCCGAGGCTTCGCCACGGTATCGCCGCCCGTGGGCAGCACCGTGGCCGCCCTTGTGGGCGGCCCGTGCGCTGGGCGGGTCCACCGATGCATCGATGGGGGCATCGCCTGCCCCGCCCGCAAGCGTGCGGGTTCCCGATCGAGGGCCTGTCGCCGGTCTATGGGCGAGGTATCGCAGACTGCGGGTCGATGATGCTCCCCCCTGAGCCCGCCCGCCCCCCCCCCCCTTTGTCGAGGAGGAGGAGGAGGCAGGAGGAAGGAGGAGGAGGAGGAGGAGGAGGAGAGGAGGAGGGAGGAGGAGGAGGGGAGGAGGGGAGGAGAGGGAGGAGAGGGAGGAGGAGGAGGGCCTGAGGGATGTGGCCCTGAGGGCTTCCAGATCAAACCTGCGCCGTGCTCGAGGTCTCTTCGCCCTGGGGCCACCTGTCTCATCCCAGACTTCCTCGCGTCGTGACAGAGTCACGGCGGACTGTTTTCGGCCTCCGGGGGCCCTTACACCGGGCCGCAAGACCGTCCAAAGTGGGTTCGGGATGAAGGAAGCCTGCAGAAGAGCCAACAGCGGCACGAGCATGATGTTTCTGAGGTCCGCACGGGTGTCTTGGATCTGCGCTGAGCCCCCCTCCTCGGCGCGTTGAGTGCGCCAGTGGCGGCGCCAGAGGCGCCGCAAAGGGGGGCCAGCGCCGATCTCAGAAATCCGGGCGGAGCTCCGAAAGTTTTCTTCCTCGGCTCTGGGGGGCCCCCAGAGGTTTGGACGGCTTCCCCCGAGCCGGTGTTTCACCCCAGGCCTGGTGAGGGCCCCCCAGTGGCTGAGATTGTCCGGCAACCTTTCCGTTTGTTTATGTTGTTGCTAGTTCCATTCTTTAGTTTGTGAATAACTGTATCTATACATGTACACATGCAAACATTTTTTCAAGACGTCGGAGTTTTGGGATCTAGGCCTCCCCGACGGGGTCAGAGTAGCTGGGGTCGGTGGATCGCCGCACCGCCCATGCATCGCCAATGCGGTTCGATGTGGAGCCCGGTTTTCTCCGCGCCGTCGTCGCCGATGCATCGCCGATGCATCGCCGACGTCGCCGATGCATCACCGATGCATGGCCGATGCAGGGGCGATGGGGCTCGATCCTCCGACCGAGACCCCGACGTCACGTTTTTTTTTCTTTGACCCACTCCCTGGGACCGGCTCTTCGTCCCGAGGCGTCCCTTGACGCTCCCGAGGCTTGGCAAGGCCTCCTCCTCCTCTTCCTCCTCCTCCTCATACCTCCTCCTCCTCATACCTCCTCCTCCTCCTCCTCCTCCTCCTCCTCCTCCTCATACCTCCTCCTCCTCATACCTCCTCCTCCTCCTCCTCCGCCTCCTCCTCCGCCTCCTCCTCCTCCGCCTCCTCCTTCGCCGCCTCCTCCTCCGCCTCCTCCTCATCCTCCGCCTCCTCCTCCTCCTCGCCCTGGAGGCCGAGAATAGCGCAACGCCCTCCTTCGTGATCTTTTCACGACTTGAGGAGGGGGCCCATCTGCCCGGACACCATCTGGGAGGCCTCTTTTGGGACCCGAAAAACGACGCAGCAAGATGGGGTCCTGGGCTCTGGGCGTGATTTTTCGCGATGTCGCAATTGTTTCGCAACGTTGGATCTCAGGGGAGGAGGAACTCGGGTGAGGATAAGTCGAGAGTCTCAGAGACTTGGCGGCTCGGGAAGCTGTCTCAGGCGGTTCGGGCTTTCTAGAGCGTTCTGGAAAGTTCTGACAGCGTTCTGGAACGCCCTGGAACGGATTGATCCTAGTCCCAGTCCCGTCCGAGATCAGAAGGGCCACTCCAAGTTTTCCGATGCGTGGGTCCCAGAGGTCTGGACCACTTCCACGAGGCCAGCTTTTCGTCCAGAGTCGTTTTTGTTGACAGTCCTGGGACCCGGCGAGGGCCCCTGGAGGCCGAAAGCGGCCGAAGACCGGCCACTCCAAGTTTTCCGATGCGTGGGCCCAGGAGGTCTGTCTAGACCACTTCCATGGGGCCAGTTTTTCGTCCAGAGTCATTCTTGTAGGGGGTCACATGCGAACCCTACCCCTGCCCCCCACGATTTCTGAGGGGGAGGGTGGGGGTCGCTTCGCTCGGGAGCTCCCGAACGAGGTGCACCCCACCCTCCCCCTCAGAAATCGTGGGGGGCAGGGGTAGGGTTCGCATGTGGCCCCCTATTTTGTTGACGCTCCCGAGACCCGGCGAGGGCCCCTCGGAGGCCGGAGGCGGCCGAGAAAACCGGCCGCTCCAACTTCTGCCGGAGCGTCGGATCTCCTGGGGGGGAGCGTCGGAGCTCTCCCGGGGTGCGTTCTCGGACCAGATTTCGGAAGCTGGAGCACATACATTACCATCGGCACGAACCTAGTGGGTACGGAAAGAATGGGTACAATGCCCAGCAGCAATTCCTGTTCATTTTGAACAGGACTCGCTGTCGGTGTCGCCGCGGCCCGTGTCCATTTGAGACAGGAGGCCGCCTGCCCAATCGCTGCCGCTGTTGGTTTGGGACAAGATTTGTTATTGGGTATTGTACCCGTTCTTTCCGTACCCATTTCGGGCGTCCGAATTCCAGTGGCGGGCTGTTTCCCAATCACCGGATTTGTTGGGGGTCGAGGACGACGCTGGGGTGGTGTGGTGCATACTTTTCTCCCCGATGTCCCGGGGAAACCAACGAAACATGTATACACCAGGGTCGCGTATACACCAGGATCCGCTTTCCTGTGCAAATTTCAGTGCAGGGGCCAGAAAAAGCGTCGGCGTGTAGAGGTTAGTGCCCTACGAACTCCGAGGCGAAGCCAGCGGTGGCGACGAGTGCCTCCGAGGAGGCACTGAAAAGGGCGAACGAGGCAAGGGCCGCGGTATGGGCACATCCTCCTCCTCCTCATCATCATCATCCTCCTGCTCCCCCCTCCTCCTCCTCCTCCTCCTCCTCCTCCTCCTCCTCCTCCTCCTCCTCCTCTCTCCTCCTCCTCCTCCTCCTCCTCCTCCTCCTCCTCCCCTCCTCCCTCCCCCTCCTCCCCCCTCCTCCTCCTCCTCCTCCTCCTCCTCCTCCTCCTCCTCTGAGACCTTGGCATCGCTCGGACGTGTGCATTTTGTCGCGGCGAGGACCATCGAGAAGTATCCTGGATCATCGAGCAAAAAAGAAGACGCGGCGAGGACCATCGAGAAGTATCCTGGATCATCGAGCAAAAAAGAAGACACGCACGAAACCGAACAATGCGCGGGGAGTGGACGTCCGAGCGATGGCAAGAGTCTCGAGGGGGCCCGTCTGCTCGGAACCCATACGAGGGACTTGAAAACACGAGGTCGTCTGCGCCGACGTTGACGCGTAAGCTGCCCGCACAAGGTCGCGCGCAGGCGCCCTCGTCTCCAAGGTAGCGTGCCGCGATGGCGGCCCGCGTAAGCAACCGCGTCAGGAGGAGGAGGAGGAGGAGGAGGAGGAGGAGGAGGAGGAGGAGGAGGAGGAGGAGGAGGAGGAGGAGCAGGAGCAGGAGCAGGAGCAGGAGCAGGAGCAGGAGCAGGAGCAGGAGGAGGAGGAGGTCGCCAAGTCATCTCTCGCGTGGGACCCGTTTTCGATCGTCGCCCCCCTGGGGGAGGCCTCTGCGGGAGGCCCACGCCTCCGAAGCGCCCTGGCAGGAGACGGTCACGGCGCTGCACGCCACGCTTCGGGCCGGCGCGCAGCTGTCGCCGCGGGGCGCGGCGGGGGCCGTGCTCGGGGACGGTGCGCGGCGCGCGCGGCAGCTGCTCGGGGACTTCTCGCAGATTCTCGGGAGGCGCGGGGGAGGGGAATCGGAGCCAACGGCAGGGGCAGCGTCGGGGTCGAGGGCCACGTCGGGGAGGCAGTCTTCGAGTTTCGAGGTCTCCAGGGTTTCCCGCGGGTTCTTGGCGGTCTTCCAACCTCGGGGTGCTCTTCAGCAGCTGCGCCTCGCCGAGAGGGTTTTGGGGGTGCCCAGATCGTCCCGAACGGCTGCCGGACAGCCGAGTTTTGACCCGAAAACCGCACGACGAGGATCACTGGGGGCGACAGGCTCAGGGGGAGATGCATCGACCCCCACGTCCATTCATCGCCGGTAGGGGCCCGATGGCCCCACCCCGCCCAGGAAGGTGCGGTTTCGCTATCGGGGGTCCATCGTCGATCTATTGGCGACGCATCTCCGATTCCAGGTCGATGCATTCCCTCCTATGCCAGTCCCTCCCTATCATTGCCCCTCAAGGTAGGGGAAACATCGAAGAAGAAACAAAGGCATAAGCATGAATTTTCGACGGTCCGCGCAGATCTGTTGGATTGGCGCCTGGGCCTCCCTGGCGGCGCCCCGGGCGCGCCAAGGAGGGGGGCCCAGCGCGGATTAAGAAATCCGCGTGGATCTCTGGAAGTTTCTGTTTATGCTATTTTTCAGGAGGGATAAATTCACACAGGCGCAATCAATCGCTGATCCGCAGGAAAACATGGGAAACTATGGGAAGTAGGGGGGAAGACGAAAACCCAGAAGACACAGGAAGCTATGGTGAATCCTGGGATTTGTGTGTACTTGTTTGTGTGTGCCTAGGCCCCTTTCATTTTTCCTTGCTGAAAAAAGGCGGGCTTAGGATCGGGATAAGCCTCTCCAGAGCGTTGCGGAACGCCCTCGGAGCCTTCCGGAACGCTCCGAGAAGGCCGCGAGGTCCGATACGAGAAGGCCGCGAGGCCCGATATGATATATCCTCCAGAGCCGCTGGATCTGAGAGATTCTCGATTTATCCTCACCCGAATTCATTCTCGTCCTGGATTCGTCGTGAAGGGGAGACATCGAAGAAGGAGCAGCGGCACAAGCATCATTTTCGACGGTCCGCGCAGATCTCTTGGATCGGCGCTGTGGCCCCCCTGGCAGCGCCTCAGACACCGCCCCTGGCGCGCTCCGCGCGCCAAGGAGGGGGGTCCAGCGCAGAGATACGAAATCCGCGCGGACCTCCAACAGTTTAGATTTGTGCTATGTGTCCTGCCTGAGAAAAAGGCCAGGCAGGCTTAGGATCGGGATGCTCCTCTCCAGGGCGTCCCGGAACGCTCTCTGAGCGCCCGAGAACGCTTCGCCATGGCCGCGGCGCCCGACGAATCTTCCAGAGCCGCCAGATTTCTGAGGTTCCCGATTTGTCCCAGTGCGATCTGTCCCATTGCGATCTGGTTCCTGTCCTCGCTTCGTCTTGGGACGGCAGGTTCGTGCCCACGCGGCTGCCTGGAGGAGGAGGAGGAGGAGGAGGAGGAGGAGGAGGAGGAGGAGGATGATGATGATGATGAGGAGGAGGAGGAGGAGGAGGAGGAGGAGGAGGAGGAGGACGACGAGGAAGAGGAGGAAGGGGTTCAGGGACCGATTTTGAGCGGATCTGCCCTTGGCCCCCCCCTCTCGACTGATCCTTGGGCTTACGCCACACCGCTGGCCCCCTATTGGAACTGGCGGTTGTTGTATGTTGCTCCTGAGGGCCTCTTGTGCGTCTTTTTGGAGGCTCCGTGTCAGGGAAACGTAAGACTCGAGTACGCTGGGTTGCCGAAGTTGTTTTGACGAGCGTGTCTTGGATTTTGACGGTCCAGTTTTCCTTGGAGGCCTCTCGGGCGACCTTGGAGGTATCTTGGACTCTCTTGGGCCGTCTTGGAGGCCGTCAAGGACCATCTTGGGCGGACTTGTAGGCCATCTTGGACCATCTTGGAGGCCATCTTGGGCCAACGTGGCCATCTTGGAGGCCATCTTGGACCATCTTGGAGGATTTTTTCTGGATTGAGGTCCTTGGCAATCTTTCCAGGTGGCCAGCGAGACGCGCCGGAGGCCCAGGGGGAGTTCTTTTGGAAAAGAGCCATAACCAAAAACCGGAAGGGCCTAGCACGCCAGGCACCCTTGTGATGAATCAGTACTGGGCGGCGGATCGAATGGCTTTCGGCACGTCCTGCCACCGTACCCGGGTTGCGGGTCGGAGGCCACTCGGATGGCTGATGGGGTCTCGCGGGATGTGTCTCCGGGGTGTCTTGGAGGCAGTTTTTGAACATCTTGGGGGCCTCCTGGGGGCCTCTTGGGTTTTTTTTGCGGCCATCTTGGGGCTCCCTGGGGGCCTGTTGGGGTTCCTTGGGGTAACCCCGAGGCGTCTTGGCTTGGGGGGGATGTCTCGATATGTCCGTTCGGGTTCCCCTTCTGGGCCACCTTGGCCTTCCTGGGCTGTCTTGGGGCCCTCCTGGGCCGTCTTGGGGGTTTCTTGGGTCGTCTTGGGGCCCTCTTGGGTCGTCTTGGAGTCCTCTTCGGCCCTCTTGGGTCGTCTTGGAGCCCTCTTGGGGGCCTCTTGGCCGGTCTTGGGGCGAACTTGAAGGCCTTTTGGGCCGTCTGGGACGTTGTCAGCGCCCAGACGGCGAATGTGCAACAAATGCACGTTTTCCCCAAATAATGGGGCCTCTTGGGGCGCCTCTTGGGGCGCCTCTTGGGGCGCCTCTTGGGGCGCCTCTTGGGGCGTCTGGAGGCCAGCGTGGGCGTTTTGGATAGATCTTTCAGCGGCTCGTGGCCCTCGTGGAGCGCCCCAAGGGTCTCTTGGGGCCCTCTTGACCTGTTTTGGGGCCCTCTGCTCCCCCGGATGCGTTCACCCACCACCCCGAGGGACCCCCTCCCTCCAATTCGACCGGACTGGGCTCCCAGGGGAGGGTTTAGGGAAGGGGAAACATTGAACACGCCGATGAAACCCAAGGGGTCGGCGGATTGTCTCTGGGCTTATCTAACTCAGACTCCTTCGCCGCCGCCAAGCTGCGACCTCGCCGCGAGCGTTAACACTTGAACGCCGCCAGTGGCCCAGAATCGGCCAACATGGAACGAATTGGCGGTCAGAAACCCGCCGATCTTTCAAGGTTGAACGATCTGCGCGGTGTCAGAAGCCAACGCCGAAGTCGTCACGACGCGAGCTTGCCGCAGGCGACCACGTGGGGCGCGAAGATAACCGTGCTTCGCGCGTCGCGGTCTGGGCCGCTTGGGTGCCCTTGCGCGGTGGCGGCGGGACGCGCGAACGCCACGCATTGCAGGGAACGCCGCGCGAGGTCAGGTCACGGAGCGAACCTGCCGTAGACGACCACGAGGGGCGCGAAGATAACCGTGCTTCGCGCGTCGCGGTCTGGGCCGCTTGGGTGCCCTCCTTGCGCGGTGGCGGCGGGAAGCGCGACCACAACCGTTCGTCGCGCATCGCAGGGTGCGCTGCGCGAGGTCAGGTGGCCCAGAGTATATCAGTGACACGCACGCCGCCGCTGGGGGCCCATCGGCGTGTTGCTCCCCGAATCTGTCCGGAGGCCGGGTGTTGTCTTCACCAGCGGCGCGCTGAGGGTTTCCCCCCGTTAGTGTGTCCTTGGCCCCGCCAGTCAAGAACGGCATAGGCATCATGCTTCTGAGGTCCGCGCGGAATTCGTAGCTTCTGAGCTGGATCCCCTCGACGGCGCCTCTGGCGCTGCCCCTGGAGCGCTCCGTGCGCCGGGGAGGGGGTCAGCGCCAGTCCGAGAAACCCGCTGGGACCCTCGGCCGTTTTGATTTGGGTTAGTTTGTTTTTTTGTTTGTTATCTTTCTTCCAATTCTTCTTCTTCTTCTTCTTCTTCCTCTTCTACTGATGCTGTTTTGGCCATCCTCCAGACAGGTTCCATTTCGAGCCGATCGCTTCGATTCGATGCCGATTCTGGCCATCTCGATCCGATGCGCTCCCGATGTCCCGGAGAGCCAGTGTGGCCCACTGCTCGCGCGAGCGCTGCCGTGCGCTGGCGCAGCCGATCCGATCCGACTCCGACCCCGCGCCCATGCAGCTCGGCCCAACGTGCTCCGCCTCCTCCTCTTTCTCCTCCTCCTCCTCCTCCTCCTCCTCAATCCCTCCTCCTCCTCCCGCTCCCGGCCCCGCGCCCATGCTGATTCGATCCAGCTTCCTGGTCCCACACGACGTCTCGATTCTCTGAGTGCAGCACATCCCGCGTTTTTGATCGACGGCCCCGGGTCCCGGCGAACGGCCCGCGGAGGCCGACGACGGCCGAGCGCCTCCCGTCGTGCCTGTTGTCCCACGACGCGAGTGTGTCTGGGATCCGTGGCCGACAGCCTGCCAGAGGTATCGTCTTGGTAGTAGCAGTCGTAGTCACAGTCGTCGTGGTCGTCGTCGTCGTGGTCGTCGTCGTCGTCGTCGTCGTTGTTGTGCGGCGGGTGCCGCGGATGAATGATTATTCCCAACCATCCTGTGGTGTTGGGTCCTCGTTTTGACGAGACGGTGCCCCGCGTTCCTCTCCTCCTCCTCCTCCTCCTCCTCCTCCTCCTCCTCTCCTCTCCCTTCTCCCAGTCCTTGCCCCTGCCTTCATAATGCTTCTGTATTAACACACCGCGTCCCTCCCTCCCTCCCTCCCTCTCGCCTCCTAAGTTCCCAGTGGCGCAGCTCGCATGGCGCCGCCGCCCCATTTTGGCACACACTTCACACGTTTCGTGGCCCCATAGGGAGCTCCATTTAAGGTCCCAGTGGCGCAGCTCGTATGGCGCTGCTGCTCCATTTTGGCACACCCCTCACCCGTTTCGTGGCCCCATAGGGAGCTCCATTTAGATCCCAGTGGCGCAGCTCGTATGGCGCTGCTGCCCCATTTTTGGCACACCCCTCACACGTTTCGTGGCCATACAGGGATCTCCACCTAAGGTACCAGTGGCGCAGCTCGCATAGCGCCGCCGCTCCACTTTGGCACACCACTCATGCGTTTCGTGGCCCCATAGGGAGCTTCACCTAAGGTCTCAGTGGCGCAGCTCGCACGGCGCCGCCGCCCCACATTGGCACACCCCTCATACGTTTCGTGGCCCCACAGGGAGCTCCACCTAAGGTCTCAGTGGCGCAGCTCGCACGGCGCCGCCGCCCCACATTGGCACACCCCTCACACGCTTCATGGCCTCGCAGGGGGCTCCACTTAAGGTCCCATTGGCGCAGCTCGCATGGCGCCGCCGCCTCATTTTGGAACACCTCTCGCACGTTACGTGGCCCCGCAGGGGGCTTCACCCAAGGTCCCAGTGGCGCAGCTCGCATGGTGCCCCCGCCTCATTTTGGCACACCCCTTATATGTTTCGTGGCCTCACAGGGGGCTCCACCAAGGTCTTAGTGGCGCAGCTCGCATGGCACCGCCGCCCCATTGTGGCACACCCCTCACACGTTTCGTGGCCCCATAGGGAGCTCCGCCTAAGGTCCCAGTGGCGCAGCTCGCCGCCGCCCGCCGCCCCATTGTGGCACACCCCTCACACGTTTCGTGGCCCTAGAGGGAGCTCCACCTAAGGTACCAGTGGCGCAGCTCGCATGGCGCCGCCGCCCGCCGCCCCATTTTGGCACACACTTCACATGTCTCGTGGCCCTATAGGGAGCTCCTGCTATGATCCCAGTGGCGCAGTTTGCATCGAGTTCTTCCTGGCAGGGCCGCCGGAGGGCTTGTGGAAACAGCTGGAGCAGTTTGCCACGCGCACGAAACGGTGCAGGAGGGAGGCGGCGGCCCTCGCCAGGGAGCTGAGCTTCACCGAGTTTATCCGCGAGGCTTGACCAGAGGAGCGGCCCGACCGAGCCTCGCCGTCTCTCGACGGTCTGACTGTTTGGCCTCGCGCCGCGGGCGACCCGCGCGCGTCGCTTGGACCCTCTCTGGGCGACCAGCGCGCGTCGCAGGAATTCCGCGCTGCGCTCTGCCCAGAGCCTCGCTCGCCCCCGTCGTCGCTCTGCCCAGCGGCCACAGCCTTGCCCGCTATCAGCCAGCCCGCGCAGCGGACGACCCGCGCGCGTCGCCGGGACCCCTCCAGGGCGACCGCCGCGCGTCGCGGGGACTCCGTGCGGCGCCGCGCCCGCAGCCTTGGACATGGGCGTGCGCGGGCAAAGAGGGAGAAAAAGAACGGGGAGGAAGCGGGCGCGATCCTCGTGAGGAGCGTGCCGACATGGGCGTCGCGGCGTGCGGGCGCTGCTGTCGGGGTTCCAGAGGAAGCTCCCTGCGACGGCCACGCTTAGTGTCACGAGTGCTCAGGGTCAGGCATACGTGAACCATTCACGTTCGTGTGTGTATGTATGCATGCATGCATGCATGCATGCATGCATGCATGCATGCATGCATGTATGTATGTATGTATGTATGTATGTATGTATGTATGTATATATGCATGTGTGTATGTATGTATGTATGTATGCATGCATGTATGTATGTATGTATGTATGTATGTATGTATGCATGTTTGTGTGTGTATGTATGTATGTATGTATGTATGTATGTATGTATGTATGTATGTATGTATATACATACATATATATATATATATATATATATATATATATGCGCACCAGGCGTGGCCGTGCTCGCATTTCATGCATATTCATTCACATTCAGACTCAATCGCGCTCAGACTTACCCGCGCCCAGTTTCTCGTAATTCGACCAATCGTCTTCATTCGGCGCACCCATCATAGGTTTCGTGGCCCCATAGGGAGCGCCGCCGAAGAAGATATTCACAATTGCGGTACTCGCAACTGCATATGGTTGGGTCCTTCGCCGGGCTATTTTTCCGCTCTTGGTGGGGCCCCAGTCTTCCAAGAAGGTCGCCGAACAAAGAATTCGTTACCCCCTTCTCGGTGTGGGGGTATCTAATGACCCTTATGGATGAGCCGACCGAGCTTGCCAGAGGTACAAGAAGCACAGCGGGGTGTCGAAGCGGCTGGTGCGCGAGTGGTCCGCGGCCAGGCCTTCCACGGCGGCGCCGGCCCTCGCCGAGGTGGACAGGTCGGGGGCAGCGATAGGGGGGGATGGGCATAAGGGGGGGGATGCATCGACCCCCAATCGCCCACTGATCGCCGACAGAGGCCAAATAACCCCACCCCGCCCAGGAAAGCGCGGTTTCACTATCGGGGGCCTATCGCCGATCTATCGGCGATGTACAGTGGGGGCGCGCATCAGGAAACCATGTGTTTTTCGTCAGGGTGTCCTTGGTTTCTTCGCTGCGGTGACTTCCCGCAGCCGTTGAAGGAACTGCTGCGTTCAGGGTGCTCCAGGTTTGCCCTTAGGTGCACCTTGCGCGCGGGTTCGCAGGGTTGGGTTTCTTGCTAGGGTTTCTTGCGGCCGCGCCCGCACTGCATCGCCGATTCCAGGTCGATGCTCCCCCCCCTACGCCTATCCGCCCCGATCGGTGCCCCTCAGCAGGGCATGGTGGCGGCTGCGCGACGTGCTGGACGAGTACATCGTGCGCGCGGAGAGGCGGCCTCGCCGCCCGTGGCTCCTCGCCTCCTCGCCTCCCTCCTCTGTCCGGCCCCCCCTCCTCTTCTTTCAATCCAGCCCCTCGCCTCTTTTCCTTCTTCTTCATCTCCTTTTCGTTTTCTTCTTCTTATATTTATTATTCGTCTTCGTCTTCTCTTTCTTCCTTCTTCTTCCTCTTCTTCTTCTTCTTGGCCTTTCATTATTTTTCTTATTTTTCTTTTTCTCCTTCCTTTATCTTCTTCTTCTTCTTCTTCTTCCTCGTGTTCTCTTTCTTCCTTCTTCTCATTATTCTTCTTTACTCGCGTCCCAGCTTTCCAGCCAGCCTCTCTTCTCCCCTTCCTCCTCCGAAAGCCATGGGGCAGGGTGGGATGGGGGGGACAGGCTCAGGGGAGATGCACCCACCACCGGCCGCCCAGCCCGTTCATCGCCGATAGGGGCCCCATGGCCCAGGCCGCCCAGGAGCTTGCGGCCTGGGTGTGGGGGGCCTATCGTCGATCTACTGGCGACGTCGCCGATTCAAACTCGAAATCCCCCCACTCCTCTTCCTCCTCCTCCTCCTCTTCCTCCTCCTCCTCCTCCTCCTCCTCCTCACCTCCTCCTCCCCCTCCTCCTCCTCCTCCTCCTTCTCCTCCTCCTCCTCCTCCTCCTCCTCTTTCCCCCCCCGGGCCGGTCCCCCCCCCTTTCGTTCCCCCTCAAGGGTGCCATACCTGCGGCTGGTTCTATCGGGGGAGGGTGGAGGTTGAGGAGAAACGGGAGGGGGGCATGCATACCATGGTGTATATATGTATATCTATATATTTATATGGATCTATTGCGAAGAACATCCTGAAAATCACTTTGATGATGGGGTCGATCGACATGATGGTGATGGTGATGATGATGACGATGATGATGCTGATGATGATGGTGATGCTGATGATGATGATGGTGATGATGATGACGACGATGATGATGCTTATGATGATGATGATGATGATGATGATGATGGATGACGGATGATGATGGATGACGATGCTGCTGATGATGACGATAATGAAGATGCTTATTATGATTCTGATGCTACGGGTGATGATGATGACCACGAGGACGACGATGATAATGATGATGCTGATGATGATGATGATGATGATGGTGATGATGATGGTAATGGTGATGGTGATGATGATGATGAGGAGGAGGAAAGGAGGAGGAGGATGAGGATAAGGATGAGGATGCTGTTGCTAATGCTGATGCTCGTGCCGATGCTGATGCTGATGCTGATGCTGCTGCTGATCATGCTGATGATGATGCTGATGATGATTATGATGATGATGATGATGGTGGCGGTGGTGGTGGTGATTCTGATGATGAAGATGATGATGTTGATGATGATGCTGACGATAATGATGATGATGATGATGATGATGATGATGATGATGATGATGATGATGATGATGATGATGATGATGATGATGATGATGATGATGCTGATGCTGATGATGATGATGATGATGATGATGATGATGATGATGGAGGATGGTGGTGGTGATGGTGATGGTGATGGTGATGGTGATGATGATGATGATGATGATGATGATGATGATGATGATGATGATGATGATGATGATGATGATGATGATGATGATGATGATGATTATGATGACTTTTGATGAGCAGCACGAGGAGGACGAGGAGCAGGACCTGGAGGAAGAGGCGGAGGAGGATCAGGAGGAGAAGGAGGAGGAGGAGGAGGAGGAGGAGGAGGAGGAGGAGGAGGAGGGGCAGAAGGATGATGAAACACGCACGGGGACGATGCTGCTGGTGATGATGAGGCTGATGGTGAAGGTCATGGTGATGATGATGCTGATGATTGATGATGCTGATGATGATGAGGTTCAGGATGCTGATGATGATGACGCTGATGATGCTGATGATGATGATTGTGATGCTGCTGCTGATGATGATGATGATGATGATGGTGATGGTGATGCTGATTCTAGTGATGATGCTGCTGCTGATGTTGATGATGATGATGTTGCCGAGGCTGATGCTGATACTGAATGCGATGATGCTGATGCTGATGATGATCATGATGCACATGGTGATGATGGTGATGATGATGATGCTGATGATATGCAGCTGATGATGATGAGGATGCTGATGATGCTGATGATGCTGATGATGATGATGATGATGATGATGCTGATGATGATGATGATGATGATGATGATGATGATGATGGCGCTGCTGCTGATGATGCTGATGATGAGTATGGTGGTGCTGGTGTTGATCATGCGGATGTTCATGATGATGGCGATGATGATGATGATGATGATGATGATGATGATGATGATGATGATGATGATGGTGATGCTTACGATGATGAGGATGATGGTGATGATGTTGCTGATGATGCTGATGCTGATTATGATCATGATGCAGATGTTGAGTATGCTGCTGATGATTTGTAATGAGGATGCTGATGATGCTGCCGTTAGTGTTGATGTCGACATTGTTGATGATGATGCTGATGATTATGCTGCTGCTGCTAGTACTGATGATGCTGCTGATGGTGATGATGATGATGATGATAATGATGGCGATGATAGAGGTGCTGATGATGATGATGATGCTGGCAATGGTGATGACGACGATGTTGATGGCGATGCTGATGATGATGATGGTGGGTGATAGATGATGTATGATGATGACGCTGATGATGATGATGATGATGATGATGCTGATGCTGATGCTGATGCTGCTGATGATGCTGATGACGATTATGCTGATGATGATGATGCTCATGATGAGGATGCTGCTGCTGCTGCTGATGATGCTAATGCTAATGATGCTGATGATGCTGATGATGCTGATGATGCTGATGATGCTGATGATGCTGATGTTGATGATGCAGATGCTGCTGATGATGATGATGATGATAATGATCATGCTGATGATGCTCATGATGATGATGATGATGATGATGATGATGATGGTGGTGGTGGTGATGTGACGATGATGATCACAATGATGATGCTGATGCTGGTGCTGCTGATGATGATCATGATGATGGTGATGATGCTGATTATGATCATGATGCTGATGATGATGATGATGATGCATATGAGGAGGAGTAGGACGAGGATGATGATGATGCTGTTGATGATGATGATGATGCTGATGATGATGATGATGATGATGATGATGATGTCGCTGATGCTGATGATGATGATGATGACGATGATGATGCTGATGCTGATGCAACTGCTGATGATGATGACGATGATGATGCTGATGATGATGATGCTGATGATGATGACGATGATGCTGATGCTGATTACAACGATGATGATGATGCTGCTGCTGTTGATGATGATGATGATGATGCTGATGATGATGATGATAATGATGATGATGCTGATGATGATGATGACGATGATGATGCTGATGCTGATGCAACTGCTGATGATGATGACGATGATGATGCTGATGATGATGATGCTGATGCTGATTACGACGATAATGATGATGCTGCTGCTGCTGATGATGATGATGATGATGATGATGATGCTGATGATGATGATGATGATGATGATGATATGATGATGATGATGATGATGATGATGATGATGATGATGATGATGATGATGATGATGATGATGATGATGATGATGATGATGATGATGATGATGATGATGATGATGATGATGATGATGATGATGATGATGATGATGATGATGATGATGATGATGATGATGATGATGATGATGATGATGATGATGATGATGATGATGATGATGATGATGATGATGATGATGATGATGATGATGATGATGATGATGATGATGATGATGATGATGATGATGATGATGCTGATGATGATGATGATGATGATGATGATGATGGTGATGGTGATGACAGTGACACTCATGAGCGAAACACAGCGAGGATGACTAACACGAGTAGCGGAGGCGGTGGAGGAAGAGGAGGAGAAGGAGGAAGAGGAGGAGGAGGAGGGGAACGCGGAGGAGAAGGCGGGGGAGGAGGAGGAGGAAGCGGAACGTGATTTGGAGGAAGGGGGAATTCTGAGAAGAAGGAGACTAAACAGGAGTACGAGTAGGAACAGGAACAGCAGGAGGAGGAGGAGGAGGAGGAGGAGGAGGAGGAGGAGGAGACGAGGACGAGGAGACGAGGAGGAGGATGAGGTGAGGATGAGGATGAGATGGAGGAGTATGAGGATGAGGATGAGGAGAGGAGGAGGAGGAGGAGGAGGAGGAAAGGAGGAGGAGGAGGAGGATATATAAGCAGGGGAGGAGGAGAAGGACTGGGAGGAATGAGGCTGAACACGAGGATGATTATTGTGATGCTGCGGCTGATGCTGCTGATGATGATGAGGAGGAGGAGGAGGAAGAGGATGCTGTTGCTGCTGATGATGATGATGCTGATGATGATGATGATGATGCTGATGATGATGATGATGATGAGGAGGAGGAGGAGGAGGAGGAGGAGGAGGAGGAGGGGGGGGAGGAGGAGGAGGAGGACGAGGAAGGTGGAGTAGAATAAGGGGGTGGTGGTTCCCTTTTCCAACTTGTGCGGCTAGGCATTTGGATGCATTCAACGACGCGTTCGACGCCCTGACCGATTACCAGGACGCTCCCCCGTTTCGAGTGGCCCTGGAGAGATTGCTTGGGTCAGCCAGCGATGGGGAGCCTCTGTGCAACGTCCACAGGCGTGATGCCTCGGTGCCCGTCGGGGGTCCAAGGGACAAGATCCCTCTCCTCCTCAGCCTCCCAATTGTTATGTTCTCCTTTTTTTCCCCTGCTCCTATCCTCGCCTGCCTCCCTCCTCGTTCTTCTTCTATTTACGCACCCTGTCTTCGCATTCCTCTCTTCCCTGCCCGATCGTTCCCCTTTTTGATGTCGTACTCCGGCCTGGTCCAACATCCTCCCCTGTCTCTTCTGGGTCAACGTCTCACGCAGTTGTTGACGAGGACAACGAGGTGGAAGAGGAGAAGGAGGACATGGAAGAGGAGGAGGAACAGGAGGAGGATGACGATGATGATGATGATGAAGATGATGATGATGATGATGATGCTGATGCTGATGCTGATGCTGATGCTGATGCTGATGCTGATGCTGATGATGCTGCTGATGATGATGATGATGATGATGATGATGATACTGCTGATACAGATGATGATGATGATGATGATGATGATGATGATGATGATGATGCTGATTTGATGATGATGATGATGATGATGATGATGATGATGATGATGATGATGATGATGATGTGATGAGATGAGATGATGATGATGATGCTGCTGATGATGATGATGATGATGATGATGATGATGCTGATGGTTGATGATGATGATGATGATGTGATGCTGCTGCTGCTGATGATGATGATGATGATGATGATGATGATGATGATGATGATGATGAGGATGATTGATGATGGAGGAGGAGGAGGAGGAGGAGGAGGACGAGGACAAGGACGAGGATGAGGAGGGTGAGGAGGAGGAGATGCGCTTCGAAGACATGATATTCGACTCTAAGGGCAACTTGCCCGCGATTGCTACGACTATCGCGGCTGCGAGATCGTACAAGAGTGCTGTCCCCTCCCCTTCCTCGAGCTGGGTCCTGCCTCCCGGGTTCCTCGGATTCTCTGGGTTCCTCGGGTTCCCCAGGTGCTCGGATTTCCTGGGTTCCACGGGTTCATTCCCCAAGTCGACGCTCAAGGCAATGTCAAGCAATGCCAAGCAATGCCAATCCAATGCCAACCCAATGCCAACCCAATGCCAAACAATACCAATGCCAACCCATGCCAAGCAATGCCAAGCACTGCCAAGCGATGCGCCCAGCGATGCGCCCATGCAATCGGCTTTCCCCTAATTGGGGTCGAGCCAGGTTCATTGCAAGGCATTATCGGACTGTTATTTCCCCCATTGGCCTTGCCTAAGGGGTTCTTAGTTGGTGAAAGGTTGGTCCTCTGGAGGCTACTTTGCCCGTTCCTCGGAGGTTTCCCGGGTTCCTCGGGGTCCCTGGATTCCTCGGGTTCTTGGGGTTTCTCGTGTTCCTTGGGTTCGCCGGGTTCCTCGGGTTCCTCGGCAATGTCAAGCAATGCCAAGCAATGCCAAGCTCTGCTCCCCAAAAGGAAACCTTCCCCAAATTGGGGCCGCGCTGGGTTCATTTGATGAACGAGTGTGCGCGCATAGTATCATTTGACAAGGAGTAGGGGGGGCGATCGCCAGACTGCCTGGGATGGTATGAATGAATCTTTATGGTGGACGAGTGAACATATTCATATGCGGAAGACTATGCGAAACGGTGGCCTGTCAGCAATGGTGTTTTGGCGGTAGATCCTTATTCTTGCTTAGAAGAAGAATCAGTGGGAGGATGGGGTAGCATCTCCTCTTCCTCCTCCTTGTCCTTCTCCTTCTCCTCCTCTTCCTCCTCCTCCTCTGCCCCGCCCCCCTGCGCCGACTCTCCTGCGACCGCGAGGGCTGAGTTCGCGATTCCCCCCCCCCCCACCCCCCTTCCACCTTCTGCGCCTCGCCGAGCCCCGGCCCCGCTGCTCACATGCAAGGGTGTACCCACTGCGGTCGTGCCGGGCCTCCGCCAGGGAGGAGGAAAAGGAAAAGGAGGAGGAGGCGGAGGAGGAGGAGGAGGAGGAGGCGGAGGAGGAGGAGGAGGAGGAGGAGGCGGAGGAGGAGGAGGAGGATGAGGGAGGAAAAGGAGGAGGATGAGGAGGAGGAGGCGGAGGAGGAGGAGGAAGGAGGAGGAGGCGGAGGAGGAGGGGGAGGAGGAAAAGGAAATGGAGGAGGAGGCGGAGGAGGAGGAGGAGGAGGAGGAGAAGGAAAAGGAGAAGGAGGAGGAGGACGAGGAGGAGGAGGAGGCGGAGGAGGAGGAGGAGGAGGAGGCGGAGCCGAAGGCCAAAGCCGCCCCCCGGGGGGCGCACGGCCCAGAGATGCCGGGCGGAAGGGCCGCGCGGGCAGGGCGGCCTTGGTGCAGGGAGGCCGCCCTGGGGCCCAGCTCGGGAGCTCTCCGCGTGCCCAAGCCGCTTCTTGGGTGGCCTTCCGTGGGAGCTCAGAATCAACGCACGACGAACCATTCCATGTGATTTGAGGTCATCTAAGGCAAATTAGGAACCACATGCCGCTGTTAGCTTAGGTTATTGGAAGCCAAGTAAGGCAACTTCAGGCGCCGCAGCGCGCCTTATTGGGCCTTGTTTGGCTTTAACCGAGAGCAACATGATTACTGGGAGCTCCCGTGAAAAGCCACCCAACAAGCCGCCCCGTGTGACGCAGTTTCGGCGGGAGCTTTTTCGACCCAAGTGGGCTTGCCACCGAGCGTGTTCCACTACTTGCAAAGTCCCTACTCGCAAACGTCCGAAGAACATATGTCCCTTTCGATGTCGGAGGTGAGGGGGTGAGATCGAAGTGGAACGGAGAGCCCCCCTACCGGGAAATCGATTTCGGTTTCGTGTTCGTGCGTGCCGTGCGGGCGAGGCGAAGCTGCGTGGGCGGGCGAGAGAAAGTCTCCTGTGGCTGAGGCGCGGCCGGACCAAATGATTCCCTTCTGGGCAGCCGGGACCCCGCGGTGTCCCGCCGGTGTCCTGCTGGTGTCCCGTGTGGCTGAGGCGCGGCCGGATCAAATGTCTCCCTTCTGGGCGGCCGGGGCCCCGCGGTGTCCCGCCGGTGTCCCGCCGGTGTCCCGTCGGTGACCCGATGATGATGATGATGATGATGATGATGATGATGATGATGATGATGATGATGATGATGATGATGATGATGATGATGATGATGATGATGATGATGATGATGATGATGATGATGATGATGATGATGATGATGATGAGGATGATGATGATGATGATGATGATGATGATGATGATGATGATGAGGATGATGAGATGAGGATGAGGATGATGATGATGATGATGATGATGATGATGAGATGATGATGATGATGATGATGATGATGATGGATGATGATGATGAGATGATGATGATGATGATGATGATGATGATGATGAGGATGATGATGATGATGATGATGATGATGATGATGATGATGATGATGATTGATGATGATGATGATGCTGATGATGATGATGATTGATGATGATGATGATGATGATGATGATGATGATGATGATGATGATGATGATGATGATGATGATGATGATGATGATGATGATGATGTTGATGTTGCTGATGATGATGATGATGATGATGTTGGTGTTTTATTTTGGAGATCGATAGTGAGATCGATAGTGAGGTCGAATGTGAGATCGATAGTGAGATCGATAGTGTTATCGATTGTGAGATCGAGCGTGAGACCGAATGTCAGATCGATTGTGAGATCGATTGTGAGATTGATAGTGGTATTGGTAGTGAGATCGATTGTGAGACCGAATGGGAGATCGATTGTGAGATCGATTGTGATATCGATAGTGAGATCGACAGTGAGACCGAATGTGAGATCGATAGTGGGATCTATTGTGAAATCGATTGTGATATCGATCGTCAGATCGATTGTGAGATCGATCGATTGATATTAATAATGAGATCGATAGTGAGTTCGATAGTGAGATCGATGGTGAGACCGAATGTGAGATCGATTGTGATATCGGTTGTGATATCGATAGTGAGATCGGTAGTGAGACCGAATGTACGATCGATAATAAGATCCAAAGTGAGTTCGATAGTTAGATCGATAGTCAGATCGAATGTGAGATCGATTGTGAGATCGATAGCGAGACCGAATGTGAGATCGATTGTGAGATCGATTGTGAGATCGATAGTCAGATCGATTGTGAGATCGATCGATTGAGATCGATTGTGAGATCGGTAGTGAGTTCGATAGTAAGATCGATCGAGTGCGACGTTGGTCCCTTCCCCCCCTCACCTCCTTATCACCCGAAGGGTGGTCGTATAGGTAATCTATCGCAAATCCCCCGCGGCGGATCCAGGCCATTTGCGCGCAGTTACTTTGCGAGCAGTGGAACGCGCTTGTCCATAAGGGGTTCCTACTTTTGGTGGAAGGTCGGTGCCCCGGGGGGCTACTCTGCCCGCTCCTCGGAGGTTCCCTGAGCTCCTCGGCTTAGGAGGGAGAAGGGAGGAGGACAGACTAAGAGGAGGAGAACAAGGAGGAGGAGGAGGAGGAGGAGGAGGAGGAGGAGGAGGAGGAGGAGGCGGAGGAGGAGGAGGAGGAGGAGGAGGAGGAGGAGGAGGAGGAAGAGGAGGGGGGTTCCTCGGCTTCCCTGGGTTCCTCGGGTTCCCTGGGCTCCAGCGCCGATCCAAGAGCTCCGCGCGGACCTCAGAGCCTTGACGCCTCTGTCACCGTTGGCTGTTGGTCCCCCTGTCCTCTCTCTCCTCCTCGTGCTCCTCCTCCCTCCTCTCCCTCCGCCCTCCCTCGCCTTTCCTTCGCCCCACCTGCACCGCCTCCCTCCCTCCCGGCGCCGCCTGCCTCCTCTCTCGCTCCGCGCCGCCCCCGCCGAGGAGTGCTCCTCCAGCCTCTCGGAGCTGCTCCCGCACTACTACAGGCCAGGGGCAACGTCAGGGCTGAGGGCAGCGTCAGGGAGACGGCCTTCGAGTCTCGATGCTCTCCGAGGTTTTCGCTGCTTCTCGGCGGCTTCCCAGCCCGCCGCGCCTCGCCGAGAGGCGTCCGGGGCCGCCGCGACCGTCCCGAACGGCCGTCGGAGCGCCGAGTTCTGGCCCGAACCAGGGGGCAGCGTTAGTCGGCGACTGCAATCGGTGCGGTTACGCCGGGGTGCGGTTTACGAGCTGCTTCGTGGCGGCCTTTCCGGGGCCTTTTTGTGGGAGAGAATGTCGTGCTTGCCGTCGTGTCCAGCGACGCTGTCGTCCTCGATGTGTGCTCCACTGTACGAGAAGGAGCGACAGTGTCATGTGATTCGGTCGCATTGAGTGACGGTGTCAGCCGTTTCCCAGGGGCGGGAGGGGCAGATCTGACGGGAGGCAAACCGCACCCTTCGCAAACCGCACCCACTGTAGTCGCCGAGTTAGGGGGGGGGATAGACTCAGGGGGGGATGCATCGACCCCCAGACGCCGACTGATCGCCGATAGTAGGGAAACGAACGATGACATAAGCAGAACAACTCGGAGGTCCGCGCGGATTTCTCGGATCGGCGCTGGGGCCCCCTGGCGGCGCCTTCGGAGCCGCCCCTGGCGCGCTCCGCGCGCCAGGGAGGGGGGTCCGGCGCAGATCCAAGACATCCGAGCGGACCTCCGAGTTTTTACGTTTATGCCATTTTTCGTCGCCCTAGACAGGGGCCCGATAGACCACCCAGTTCAGGAGCGTGGGGATGCGCTGTCCGGGGCCCACCGTCGATCTATCGGCGACGTATCGCCGATTCCAGGTCGATGTTCCCCCCCCCCCCCCCCCTGTGCCATCCCCCCTAATGTCGGAGGCCCAGTGGTCAGCACCAACGCCAATATCGGCGGTGTGCGTCCGCCGAGGGAAGGTGATCCCGATCTCGTTGACCCGTATTGCTCGTGCGTCTCAGGTGGCAGAAACATTGCCACCAAGACCAGAATCTAGGATCAGATTTCCCCAGCGGAGGTACCCCCCTGTGTTGTTGTTGCTGTTGGTGCCCGTTTCCAAGCCTCCAGTAACGTTCCCCTGCAGCAGGGCGATGGCGGAGCGCGAGCGCTCACATGAGCAGCTGCGGGACGCCTGGCGCAGGAGCAGCGACCTGATGGCGCAGGCGACCTGCTGCTGCCGGCGCTGCTGATGCTGTCGCTGCGGCGGCTCCTCCTGCTCCTCCTGCTCCTCCTGCTCCTCCCCTCCTGCTCCTCCTCCTCCTCCTGCTGCTGCTGCTCCTCCTTTCCTCCTCTTCTTCCTCCTGCTCCGAGCGCGGCACGGGTTCCCTTTCCCGCGGGTGCTCGTTGGCCGGGAGCCGGCGCCCCCCCCCCCAACGCAGGCGCGACCCACCGCTCGCGGCGGGCCACCCCCGAGGAGGAAGGGGTGCGCCGGCCGGGGCCTGTAGACTGCCATACCTGGGAGGTCGTACGCGCCCCCCCGGATATAAAGGCAGTGAGCCCCGCGCTCCGGGCAGCTGCGCCAGCTCGCCGCCAGCGGCGCCCGCTCGCCGCCGCCCCCGCAGCGTCGCCCCAGTCGCTCCCGCGTGGGCTCCTCTTCCGCCGCTGGCGCCGCCTCTTCCTCCCTCCTCCTCCTCCTCCTCCTCCTCCTCCTCCTCCTCCTCCTCCTCCTCCTCCTCCTCCTCCGCCCCCCCGCCTCGGCCGGGCCAGCCCGCCGCCGCGGCCCAGCGCGCCGTGCCTGCCGCCGCCTCCGCCCCATGCGAGGCTCCAGAAGCCGCCCCTTACCAGCCTGGAACATATCCCTATCCCTATGCTGGGCACCTCCTCATCGCGATGCGAATCTTTAGGGCTTCCCTTACTTTTTGGGGGCGAACCCCTGAGACTGTCATCGCCTTTGGCGTGCCAGTCTTATAGGGATGGGGGTGCGTTCGAGGCCGGTACGCCCCGCGAGCCCGGGCGCCGGGGAGCCGCGCACCCCCGCGCCGGGCCAGGCGCAGCTCGCCGCGCCACCTGGCGCCCGCCGCCGGCCTCGCGGCGCCGCCGGGCCGCGGGCGAAGCCGGCTTCGCGGCAGGCGCGGCCGTCGTGGCGCGCCGCGGCCGCGGCGCGCCTCTCCAGCTGGCCCAAGGCGCTCAGCGCCTTGCCCCGGGGCCCTCGCCAGGCCCGCCAGCCGCGTCGCCGCGAGGTCGGCGTCAGCCGCGCGGCGCCAGAGCACGCTGCTCGGCCCCCGTCGGGAGCGAGAGGAGGACGTACACGTGCATGAAGCCACGCTGTCTTCGAGAGTCTGCATATTGCGCGAGTGTTCGTATCACGCGGACGGTCCCGCGGATCGAGGGGCCGTGTCCATGTACATGGTTGGGCGCGTACGTCCTCTGTGGGCTCCCAAAGCTGGTGCAAGTGGCGGATGGCCGCCGACCGCCCGTTGGCCTGGGGCGGCGGGGCCAGCAAGCGCAGTGAGGCCGAGGCGTCCTCCCCCAGCCGGCCGTGGTCCTCCACCGCGGAGGGGACCGCTCTCAGCCCGGGGTGCCGCGCGCGCTTGTCGTTCTCGGCCGCCGCGGCCGCGGCCCCAGCGCGCCGATTGGACCCGCCGCCGCACCCGCCGAACGGGCGTCGGGTTTTCTCATCGCCCAAGCGTGCTTGCACTATGTGAGCGTCGCCTCCCCAGGGGCGACGCGCGCGCTCAGAACTCACATAGTGCATGCTCGGTGGCGGGAGCCTCCTGGCCATACTGCCTGGGTAACGATACGCTACAAGAAGATGCTCTTGCTGAATGTTCAGCTCGGACGTGCGCGCCCAAGAGCGGCGCATAGTCTATAGTGCTAGTATGTCCTTCCGCGTCACAGAGGGTGCAGCTGGCGGCGCAGTGTGGGCGTGCGATCGCACTGGATGCGTCCTTGCTGGATGATTGGCGCAATTCCGCCGTGCCGCCCCTGTGGACGAGTTCTTGGTCGTTGGCCGTGCGCACTGGGTGAAGGGCCAACATTGCGCTGCGAGAGCGTACGTGGTGGGGCAAGGGCGGCATGTCATCCGTTTTTGCCGCTGCTGGTGCACAGGACGCGAGGGAACGGCCAGTGGACGATGATCGAGGATTGGCGACGTGATGTGCCAGCAGTTGGGCGTTTTTTGCTGATGCGCTTCCACCAGGCCAGCATCGGGCAGCCTGCTAATTAGCCGCTGACCCTCCTTTCGTTCGAGGTGCATGGCATCCCACAGATGCAAAGAGCCATCGTTTGGCGCCTATGCCGGCACCGCTTTCGTGACGGTGAGCTGCAGTTTTGACGACCACGACAATAACGATGAAGGCGATGATGGCGATGACGATTGTGATGGTGAGCGTGATCATGATGGACTATGATGGTGATGACGATGGTGATGATGATATTGATCATGATGATGATGAGGTCGATGATGACGGAGCTGATGACGATGACGATGGTGATGATGGTTATGGTGATTATGACTGCACTGGTGATGATGCTGATGATGATGTTGTTGATGTTGTTGATGATGATGCTGATGCTGCTGGTGATGATGATGATGATGATGATGATGATGGAGGTGATGGTGACGGCGGTTATGATGATGCCGATGACGACGATGATGATTATGGCGATGACTATGATGATGGTGACGATACTGATGATGCTGATGATGCTGATGATGCTGATGTTGCTGATGGTGGTGATGATGTTGTTGATGACGATGATGATGAAAATGATGATGATGATGATGATGATGATGATGATGGTGATGGTGATGGTGATGGTGATGGTGATGGTAATGGTGGTGGCGATGATGATGATGGTGATGTTGATCGTGATGATGATGATGATGGTTGTGGTGATTATGATTGTGATGGTGATGGTGATAGTGATGATGATAATGGTTATGGTGATTGTGATGTTGATGGTGATGGTGATGATGATGCTAGTGATGAAGATGGTGATGATGCTGCTGCTGATGCTGATGCTGAATAGATGAAGATTCTGATGATGAGCATGATGGTGATGCTGAGGATGATGATGATGATGATGATGATGATGATGATGATGATGATGATTATGATGGTGATGGTGATGGTGATGCTGATGCTGATGCTGATGCTGCTGATGGTGGTACTGGCGATGACAATGATGGTGATGCTGACGATGCTGACGACGGTGATGATGATGATGATGATGATGGTGATAAATATGATGATGATAATGATGATGGTGATGGTGATGGTGATGATGATGGTGATGCTGATGATGGTGATGGTAATGATGATGATGATGATGCTGATGATGATGATGGTGATGGTGATGGTGATGGTGATGATGATGATGATGAAGATGATTGTGATGGTGATGGTGATTCCGATGGTGATGATGATGATGTTGATTCTGATGATGATGACGATGATGGTGTTGATGCTGATGGTGATGATCATGTGGATGATGATTGTGATGCTGCTGCTGGTGATGATGACGCTAATGCTGATGCTGATGGTGATGATGGTGATAATGATGGTGATGGTGATGGTGATGATGATTGTGATGCTGATGAAGATGATGATGATGATGATGCTGATGATGATGATGATGCTGGTGATACCCTTGGTGATGATGATGGTGATGATGATGGTGCTGATGATTGTGATGATGATGCTGATGATGATTCTGTTGTTTATGATGCTGCTGCTGCTGATGATGATGATGATGATGATGACGATGATGAATTGGTGATGATGATGATGCTGATGCTGATGCTGATGATGACGACGACAACGACGACGACTACGACGACGATGATGATGGTGATGGTGATGGTGATGGTGATGGTGATGGTGATGATGATGATGATGATGATGATGATGATGATGATGATGATGATGATGACGACGATGGCAGCGGGGCACAGACATTTTTGTTCTGGGAAGAAGACCTTCGTGGGATGTAGTCTTTGATCTGCGTCGTCAGAGCTCGGGGGCCACCACATTGTCCTCGTCGGCCCTCCCCAGAGCGTGCTGGAGGACTCTGTTCAGGTCCTCTCCTGCCCCGCGGGATGCGCGTTGCCAGCCACTTCCTTTGCAAACCACACCCTTCGGAGTCGCCGATTCTGGAGGAGTGCTCCGCATATCATGGGTAACATGGGCAACGCCAGGGGAGGAATAGGCTCATGGGGGAATGCATCGACCGCCAATCGCCCATGCATCGCCGAAGTGGGCCCGAAAGCCCCGCCCGCCCAGAAGCGTGCGGTTGCACCGTCGGGGTCCCATCGCCGATCTATCGGCGATGTATCGCCGGCTCCAGCTCGATGCTTCCCCCCTGAGTCAGTCGCCCCTTATCGTTCCTCCTTGAGCCCAGGCTGGGCGACGTGATGTCAGAGCTTTGGAGGCGTGCCCCGCGGATCTGGGCGACCGGCTGGGCGTTCTGGATTGCAGCGCGAGCCCAGTTCAGTTCATGCGCCGAGTGTTCTGGTTCGAGCGAGACGGCGTGGGTTGGCATCGAGTGCTAGCGCAGGCCTCTGTTGTAGCAAGGCAATGGCGGCTTACGCCGAGGGAGCGTATGAGGAGGGCAGTGGCGGGTCCCCCGCTCACGAGTGCGGCCACCGCTAAGTCGACACGTGCTGACCATGCGCGATCCAGGCATCAGGCATGTGCCATCCACAGTTCCTGCCCCCTCCCCTCTCCTCCCCGTCCCCCCTTGGCCACTCCTCCGTCCACCCTCCCGTCCCGCTTTTCCCTCCCCCTCCCCGTCCCGCCGCCCTCCCCTCCCTCTGCCGTTCCTGCCCTTCCCGTGCGCCGTTTTTTCTCCCTCTTCCTCTGCCCCCCTCGTCCCGCCTTCCCCGCACCCGCTCCTCTTCCTCATCCCCTCGTCCTCTTCCTCTTCCCCCTCGTCCTCTTCTCCCCGCTTCCTCTTCCCCTCTCTTCGTTCCTTCTCTCTCTATATCTCCCTTGCCCGCACCCGTTCCCCCTGTCCCCGCGCTTTCCTCCCGCTCCTCCTCGCCCCTTCCCTGGCAGACCCGGCATCACTCTTCTGTGAATCTTCCCTCCTCGTGCGCGAGTGAGTCACCGAGCGCGTTCCGCTACTCGCAGGCGGCAGAACAAAGCAGGTCTTCGTACATGTAATGGATCGTAGATCCCCCGCGTCGGATCTAGGCCATTTGCGAGTAGTTTCTTAGCGAGTAGTGGAACGCGCTTTTCTAGTGAGGGTTCAGGTGAGATGAGGTCTACGATTGCAGTGGGGGCCCATGCCAAGAAGCACCCTGCTCTCCTCCAGGGTGCCCTGGGTTTCTTGGGTTTCCGACGGTTCTGCTACGGCAAGCGTGACCCTCCCACACCAACAATCAATGGACGTCCTGGGGTCTCAGGGTCTGGTTTCGTGTGGACTGGCCTCCATTGCATTTTTCCTGCAACAGGCCACGACGTCGGGTTGTTCACTCTTACACGCAAGTGCATTCCGAACGCTGTAGGCTTTTCTGGCACCAAGTTTGCGAGCGCTGCTGAAGATGCTTGGGATGGGCATTGTGCGATCATGGTAGCAGCATGTTAGGCCACGGCTATCAAGCAATACACTATCACATAATGTTGCGTCAGGGCATGGACTTGCGCAGAATTGTGCAGTCGCATGTGCCATGGCGCATGAAAATGAAAGTGTCTGTCAGATTGCTTCGACCATCGCGGACGCGGATGTCTTCGCCAGCTTCATGTTGAAGGAAGGTTGTGATTCATTGACGGCGCGCCGAACGTTGGACCAGGCGAACGGACTTGTGCAAAGGCGTAGTGCGCCATGCAATCGATCGCATGGCCTGCGTTCAGGCCTCGTCGTTGCGTGATACCGACCCCGAGCCAAACCTCCAGGTCGGTTTTGGAGTTCGCTGCGGCGACCGTGGCGGCCGCAAGTCGGTTAAAATTTGTGTCAAGCACTGGCATGTCCCTTCCCAGCCCCCCTGCTTTGCGATGTAGACGTGGCTAATAATTAGCGATGCGCCGACAGAGAGTCGTCCATTTCGTCCAACATGGGCAAGCCTTTTTTTTAGAGGTCGACTGTCACGCGACCAACTGCAGAGGCGTGCTGCGCCATGCAGTCGATCGCACGGCCTGCGCTCGGGCCTCTGGCTGTCGCCGGGGCGTCGACCGAGGCCGCCCCCGAGCCGAGCGCGATGTGGCCGTCCGACGCCTGCCCGCAGTCTGGGCCAGCTCGCCCTCACGGCTCGGGTGCTGCCGGAAGGGGCCCTGGCCCAAAGTGCCCCCAGACCTCAAACATGAAAGTTCTTAAAGTACATCTAGTTTTCGCTAGGAATTCTTAGGAGCTTGGCGATTTTTTGGGAATAATGAACTTTCTTTGCAAATGCAGGAAACACTGTCTCGTTCGCTTGCGGAATATTAGGTGTCTAGCTGCTATGCGAAAAATATTTGCGCTTCTCGCCCCAGTTTTGGAGCCCCTGGGGCACCCGGGGCCTCGTCAGGGGTGCTCTGGAGGTCGCGGGGGGGCCTCCCTGGAAGTCCTGGGGGCACCCTGGGCCAGGGGCACTTCCAGCAGCGCCCGAACGGCATGCGGGCCGGCACACACAGCAGGGGG